CTTCCTCTCCCTGGTCTCGAGCAGACCAGGGAGAGGAAGCAAAGCGGCGGCGGAACGCGCGGCCAGCTGACAGCCCAGACGCGTCTGGGCTGTCAGCTGGCCGCGCGTTCCGCCGCCGCTTTGCTTCCTCTCCCTGGTCTGCTCGAGACCAGGGAGAGGAAGTGCCCCCGTTCGTAACTGCGGATCCGACGTAAGTCGGATCCGCGTAACTCGGGGACTGCCTGTATTCTAAATGTGGTTACAAAGATCACTTATTGTATACCTTGCTTTGACTAATACTGCACATTTCAATACACCAAGATCTGCTTTATTTACACAACTAACCGGGGCTATGTATACACTACAGAGTTTTTTTGAAAAAAAAACACAATTTTTCCAAAAAAATCTTCACTTACGTCCACACTGCAATCACATTCTTTCAGGGGAAAAAAAATCAGAAGAACAGAGGGGTTTTTCCAACATTGGTAAACCTCTTTCTATGAGGAAGAAGCCTTTTTCTAAAGGAGCTCTTTTGGAAAAATGTGTGTGTGGACAGCGAAAAGGGAGTTCTTTCGAAAGAAGAGGAAAAAGCAAAGTTTCCCTGGTGGTCACGCCGTCCATAGCATTCACAGCTTAAATGTAAGATAGTGTCCATTCAGTGTGGATGCTATCTTTCGAAAAAGCAGATCGCTTTTTCGATGCACTTTGGCAGTGTGGACACTCTTTTGGAAGACATTTTTTCAGAAGATCTCTTCCAGAAAAGCTTCTTCCGAAAGAAGCCTGCGAGCCTGTGTACACACAATCATTTCAGATACGTCTTCTGATTAGTGCTCAAAGGATTATATTTTGTCCCCTACACCCAAAATATGCATGTTGAAAAGTTCAGATCTGGATCCAGATTCTGTATACCCAAAATTTTGATGGTAAATTGATCTAGAGATCCAGTTTGAACCATTACAAAAGTAGAGGCAGTTTCTGAAATCTGGATCTGCATTCAGATTTCAAACAACCTTAAAATTCCAGGGATTGAGGGCTTCTGACTGTAGGATAGGTAGCAATGAATCCATTATGTGTGGAGCAAACCATTACATTTAATAGGTCTATCTGCCTGTCCATCTTCTTGATTGGGCCCAAAGTTTTTAAAGAGAATCAAGATGGATGGATGTATACAGTGAGACACATTCTGATCTGTCTCTTGTGAAGATTTTGCATTTGTTCTCTCATTCGTTACTCTGATACAAACAAACTTTCTGAATTGAAACTAGAGATCTTGCTCTCTGTGTTGAGAGAACACGCGAAGAGACAAACCCTCCAAATCCTGAGATTCACATGAAAATATAACTGTTTAATAAAGAGAGCCCCAATTGTGTTTTTTTAAGTTTCCACTGAAAGCCCTTGAGGAGGGAGGGGGTCACATTTTCAAGCTTTTCTCTACAACCTTGAAAGCTAGAAATGAAAGCTGAGATTCTGATATTATCATGATTTCAGGACCCAAGGCTTGGGGAATAGCCACACCACACATCATGAAACTAGTGATAAAACTCACAAGGGATGGCAACACCTCACCTACTATTGAAACAACTGTGAACTGAAGTGTGGAAGGGAAAAATACATTGATAATAAAATAGCAACAGCACTTAAACAGCAGTTCATATTTGGATAGAACCAAGCATTAGGCCTGATTTTCCTCCCATTTATACTAATTTTACACCAGGGTAACTCTACTCACTGCAATAGAGTTATAGGCTGTCCTTGCTATAAGTCTGAGATATAAGTCCAAGTTTTTTTGGAATATAGCAAAAAACTGAAAGCGGGGAATATTTTCCCCCCACAGCTGACTTCAATTTGCACAAATTGGGGGGTGGGGGGTGGCCCTTGGTGCAACTTAATAGTGGGAAATGGGAGGACTTATAATGTATCAGTTCCTACAAGTGTCAATTACTTCAGTATGAAACGGATATACGAGCTGACTTATGTGGGGACACGCGTATTCCTTATTTACACTAGCTGAGAATCAAGTCCACCGGCTTCAAACAAAATGTTATTCTCCCCAGTATGGGTTGCAATAGTAGAGCTGAGAGTAAATGTAAGCCTTGATAAAAAGAGGGCCATTTCTGTAATCGGCCATGTGAGATCAATTGATTGTAATGGTAGCCATGTGGTTAAAACCACACATGACTGTTTGAAAAAGAATCTCTACCCTTATGAGACTCCCAGTGACACTTCTCAGATTGGAAAAGTACTAAAAATGTATGGATTAACTAGGGTGCATGCTGAAGGCTGTGCCTACTGTGTATATCAACTTCACAAGTTAAACAGGCTTTTCCATTTGAAATCAGGTATATGCCTCTGATTAAAAATTATATTGCACACACGAGAAATATAAATTACTATATTGCCACTCTCCTGTCCCATGTATTTTGGGTTCAGTGGCCTAAACCCATTACAACTTTTAGTGTACAATAAATCCTACATGAATCAAACTCAAGCCATTTTTGCTAACAAACATTCAAGAATTAGTGTAACTTGTCCACAGAAGTGTTTCTAGGTTGCCCATCATTGTGAATAATGTAAGGATCAACTGGTTGTAATTATTAATAAGTGGTATTTACAAACTTCTAAGCATTATTAACAAATCATCTTTCCATCCCTGACACAGATAGGAGAAGTATTATTATTCCCATTTTATAGAGGAGGAATTTGAAGCACAGAGAGGTGCCCCAGAGCAAGCAGGAGTGTCAGAGGTAGCACTGAAATTAGACTCAAGAATTCCTGAATGCCAATCCTTAACTGAAACCATCCAACCCTGCAACCATGCAAGCACCACACATGGGAACGTAGAAGAATCATGCACAGAACACAGAAAAGTGAGGATCCTCATTAAATTTTGAGCTATCCTTTCAGGCCTTGCATTATCTATGCAGAATACGTGTGCTTTTGTCTATAAGGAAACTAGATAGTCCGGTTAACTGTCTCAAAGCATAAAATCAAGAGGTCTCTTGGCCTTAAAAGGTGGTGATTTTGGACAACATTCCAAGATACTGCTGCTAGAAATAAAGTCATTTTAGAGGGAGCATATCAGTACTTTCTGATACCGCATTACCTGTTTTGGAGGTGATACACTACTTGCAGACATGACCATAAACATTTTTTGAGTGATGGCTAGAGTGTCTTCCAAATATTAGTAACCTTCTTTCCTAGCAGATGTCAGTCAATCAATTTGATGAGAAACACTATGCATACAATCAGATGGAGAATATATTTGTAAATGACTCAACAACCTATATATTCACTTTCTATACTTTCAACCCTCAGGTTCAAACCACACATTCTGGACACTATAATTCGTCAATTAATTAGTTGTACAATGATCAAACTTCATCTGTTTTGTCAACAAAGAGAACTGGTTTTGCTCAGAGAAAATACAGCCATCTCCTAATCTTACCTATCATTTTCAACCTTCGCAATGAAATAAAGACACAAAACTCAACAGAAACAAACGGGGAGCAGGGGTGCAAAATGGGAAAAATCCAACCCACAAACTGCATTTCTAACTAAGTAAGAAAACTTGACTAAAATAATCTGCTGAGAAGGGCACAGATTGCTGAAGCAATAAGAAACAGCAAAACACCCCACTCTTTCACATACTTGTCCAGAATTTGACATATTTTGAAGAAACTATCTTCAATGCTGGGTTACGTAGATGTATATGTCTATGTAATCTTCATTTCTAAAATTACAAGGACAAATTCTCTGCTGGAATAAACTAAAACAGCTCTATTGACTTCAATGAAGTTTTGTCTACTTTCATTAAGAGAACTGAGTTTCCAACACAGATGGATCAGAGCATGAAAACTCTGGAGAGGGATGTATAAGCCCTATTTCCCTTTAAATATCTGCTGAAGACAGCTTTTCTCCCTAGCCTCTGCTACTAAGTATCTCTCAGGCTTTCCTATAATGCCATTTTGAAGATAGATATTTGGAAGAGCCAGCACAAAACTAAGTTTCAGACTCAACTCCACTGAATTGAATGAGAGCAGAATCAGTTCTAGAGCGGATTATGATACAATACTTCCCAGAATGGAAAAAAGCTGAAGGCTTTTTTCCCACTTGCCCCGGGGGGAGGGGGGAGGGAGAAAATCAGGCACTGCATTTGCACAGGCTCCTACCAAAGTCTCTAAAAATGTTTATACTTTGTACATCCCCTTCCCAGTATACAGAGTTTAGACAGCATCCACATAAATATATGTACCACGAATCCCAGTCTACGTGAATTTCCTGTCACTGGATGTGGGGATAGAACCTCTTATTCTTAGGACTCAACTTAGGACAGGGGGCACAGTGCTTTACAGTGGGCACACTGTAGTGTAGTTTCACCTCAGAACCTATCCAGTTCTGCTGACTAGAATGGAAGGAGAATCATGCCCTCCTTCACACTCTTCCCAGTCCATTTAAGGATGTTTCTGCTCCAGCTAAGAGCTGTTCTTGCACTCAGCATCTTCACTGGTGCCCTTGCACAATTTACTCAAGATGGAAGGGAAGGTGTCTTTGTGCCTTCCTCCTCTTCCGTGTATTCTATGAGCAGCCCAGTCCCCCCACCATATATAATTAATAAGTATATACAGGTGTCTCATGTGTACTGTATGGATTTTATCTCATCCTCCATTGCAGCTGAGATGCCCTTTATCATGAACGCTATCTTGCTCCCTTTGAAGCCAATGTGAGTTTTGTCATGAAATTCAAAAGGAGCAGAATTGGAACCCAATGTACTATTTGTTCTGTAAACTGTTTTTCTGTGATGCCTTCAATTACCCCCTCCTCTATGTACAATTTAGAATCCAAAGCACTAAAATAAATGTCTTTTAAATGGAATGCCTAGTTGTAGTTCCTGGTCAATAAAAAAAAAAAAACCTCATCTTTGCTTGGATAAGCATTATTTAATATATGGGCATGGAACCGTCTACTATTTAATCCAATTTCTAAGTTCTCATTGACTTCAATGGGAGCAGGATGAACCCCATAGTAAAGGTTAGTATGTATACGTAACAAAATTGCACATTGACTTTCTTACCCTCATACCCATTTATAAAAACAAGTGATGAAATACTGTGTATATATTCTAGCTCAATTAAACTCAATTGGTTTGTATTTGCATGAGTCCATTGTTGCCAAAGTAAAATAAAACGATGGAAATCATGGTTGCCTGTTAGAGGAAGATACTGGACATCAGGCATCTCTTTAGAATAAGGCTTCACACGCTTCTCTGGGGTTTTACAATGTGTCCATTTGTCATTACTGTCCATGTGCCATTAACACAGGCTGGTGCAGGAGAAATAGGCAGCGAATAAAAAGTTTAAAACCTTCACTCACTGTTAATGTGCAACTGATTAAGTTTACATCCACCCCTTGTTTATTCTTAAACAGAACATTATCTGGCCTGCACCTGAAATTCCCACTGCAGGGTCTTCTATTTTAAACACCACAGAATCATAGAATACTAGAACTATAAGGGACCTCAAGAGATCATCAAGTCCAGTTCCCTGCCTTCATAGCAGGATCAAGTACCATATAGATCATCCCTGATAGATATCTCTCTAACCTGCTCTTAAATTTCTCCAGTGATGGAGATTCCACAACCTTCATAGGCAATTTATTCTAATAATTTAATCACCCTGGCAGGTAGGAAGATTACCCTAATGTCCAGGGTAGGAAGTTTACCCTAAACCTCCTTCCTTTGCTACAATTTAAGCCCATTGCTTCTTGTCCTATCCCAGAGGTCAAGGAAAACACATTTTCTCAGTGAATGACCCAAATGTACTGCCAGAATTTAAAAAAAAAGAGAGAGAGAGAGAGAGAGAGAAGTGAGAATGCCAGAGGATGTACAAAAACAACTCTCCTCCACTCCCCCCCTCCCCAAAATCCAAAACTACAACCCTTTCCTTGCTACCGCTAAAATCAGATTTATTTGGAGGAGGAAGGGGAGGAGTGGAAAGGGAAAATGGGAAGCAACATTTTTCTTCCGGGCTTTCTGCATCTCCCACCACCAGCACAAAAAATTGCCATGGTCACCAGGAGTTGGGGGAAAGGGAGACCAGGGCGGTTTCCTTTGGTGCTGCTCAGGAGCCCGAAGGAAGATGCTCAGGCTGCGCAGCGATTCCTACGCCCCCCTAGCTAGTTGGAACCTGCGGCTCCCTTCATTGTTATCCGGCAGGAAAGGAGGCAGGGCGGGGGAGGGAGGAAACTCACCTTTGCGGCTGCTGCCGCTGGTGGCCACGTCCAAGTCCTCCTCCTCCTCCCCGGCAGGTGGGGAAGGAATTGCAGCGAGGAGGCCGGTGGGGC